GATATGTTGAAGACGTGAGCTAGGGGCTGACACAATGAGGTAGCACACCTTTTATAAACGATTTGTGGTATGCCGTCGTAACATTCAGAAGTGGACGGTTTAAGGGATTTCAAGACTTTCAAGACGTCGTTGGGGTGAAAGAAGACCTCGGAGAGGCAGTGGGAAATACGGTCGAGTCTGTCAGCTCGAACTACGTCAGTGTCGTTACTATCGGAGAAAACGCTAGCAAAGTACGCCCCCAGGGCATTAGCTTTTTCCTTGTCCGATACAAACGTGCGACCAGTAGAGTCAGAAAGAACTGGTAGCTGTGGGCGAGCTTTAGCTCTCAATTTGATATATTGGAATAAGCTCTTCAGGTTGGATTTAGCTAGTATTCGTTTTTCTTTATTTACGAGAAATTTTCTGATATGATAGCTCAGATCAGAGCACACTTTTTTATAGGAGGAGTCCGCAAGGGGAGAAGTACAGAGTTGAAAGAGTCTATTTTTCTGAGCTATCAAGTTCCTGATGTGAGAAGGGAATTTAAGGAAAGTTCGTTGAGGATATTTAAAAGGAACGGTTAGAGACATTATCGTGTATATTTGCGCGCAAAACCTTTCATAAACTTCAGATGCAGAAGTGTAATTATCGAAAACATTGTACCAGTTGATGCTCCGTAGGTAAAAGTTCATTTTGTTATAATCTGTGTTGATGAAGTCAGGAGTGGGAAGGACTTCAACTGGCAACGTTTCCTGACGTACACTAAAGGCAACGATTTTGTGATCAGAACTAGCTAAAGGGGAAAGTACCGTCACATTCGAGACGATAGGCTCAGTAGATAAGATAAGGTCTAAAGTATTGCAGTCATGAGTAGGTTGACTGACATGCTGCGTCAAGCCACAACTTTGGAAAAATTCAAGGAATTTTGCCGAAGAGCAGCTCTGAGGCTTCATAATCTTCCAATCAATAACAATGTTAAAATCTCCTAATAGTATTGTTTGGGGCTGGGCAGAGCAAAGATTCAGTAGTGCATTTAACAGTGAAGAATCATCCGTAGACGTAGAGCTAGGGAGGGCGGTTACACAGCGACTACCTCACTGTAGGTGAAATGCTGTGGCTGATAAGCTCAATACATAAAACGTCAGCTGTAAACTCTCCTTGCAACTTGATTTCTTTTGAAATTATGGAAGAGTTGATCAAAAAACAAACTCCGCCGCCTTTTTTATCTATCCTGTCGCGACGAAATACATTATACGGCAGATTTATTATTAATTCAGAATCAAGAATATGAGAATGTAGCCATGTTTCGGTTATCACTACGATATCTGGTCTTTTGATGCTCAGAAAAGCATGTAAATTTGCAAATTTATTCACAATACTACGGGCGTTAAGCAGAAAGCATTTCAGAGAGGTTGAATCGCCATGCACGCCTACTCGTTTCCCGAAGTTTGATGAGTTCGAGCATTTGAGACGCGATAGATCAGAAGTGCGCACCAACTCACCTTTGAACACGACCCATTCCTTCTTGGGCTTACCTTTATTGAGCTCGTTTGCCTGTTGTCGGAGCTCATACTCGCGCTTACGTTCTTCTGCTGTTAAACTTTTCCTTATGAACACATTTCCGGGTACCGAGTTAGAGCCGTAGAGTTTTCGCTTAGCAAAGCAATTCGCCAGTATAGCTTGAAGGCAAGTCAAATTGAAAGTCTAGGACGCATCTGAATCACCCTTTCAACTCTCGGGTGTCCAGGCCGACATTCGACTTGCAAAAAATCAAGCAAATCAGTCACCTTATTTTCAAGTTCCCTTTGGCGCTCAGAGGGCTTAAGGTCGAGTGGCGCTTCCTCGAGGCCACTGACAATGAGGCTCCGTGAGCGTTTATCGGCCTCTACGTAGTCGATCATCTCTTTTGGAATCTTCTCGGAAAGTGCCAAGATCATCCTTTCAATGACAGGGTCGTTGTTCCGTTCAGGTAAAAGGCTTTAAGCAGCTCATTTACGCTGAAATTGCTAAATCTGCATTTTCAACGACGTCATCTACAGTAATAGAATCCTCGTAAGAGCTGATTGAGTTAAACTACCACTTAGATCCTGGCGTTTGCTCGATCGAGTTTTGGCGGGCATGATCTGCTGCTCGATGAAAGGATCGATATTAAAAGTGGCGTCAGAAAGTGAAAAATGGAGTTTACCAGGCAACAAAAAGCTGATCTCGTAGTACAACGCTGAGTTTAGCTACCGCAGGAAGACAAGTGGTAAAGTTCGATAAGGAATGATGAAGAAGAATTGCGAGAAAAATAGCAGTAGAACTTTGAGGGGAGGACGCGGAATGAGCCGCCGCACAGCAGGAAAACACTCGTCGAAATTATGACCTTATCTCAAAACTGGTCGGGAGGGAATGCATAACCAGGGCAGTGAAGAGGCCTGTTTCTGCAAGGAGCGGACATTTAAAGGCACGATACGGGTCAGGATCGAATTGATGTTTTTTGTTTGTTTGAAAAGTAGGCAGTAAGGGCAATGAGCAACATTAGGGTGAGAAGAACACTATGGAAAACACTAAACTTTTCTTATGAGGCCGATAATGGTATAGCGGAAAGACATAGCGCTGCGAGGAGAGAGGAAAAACTGACCACCGTTGCGTCGCACTTTTAAAGAGTTACAGTGTCTGCACTTGGAAGCCCCTCTTTCTCACCGTAGGAGGGACTGGCTCTTGGGGACTAATCCCGATTTTGAGGAATACTTTGCCAAACATCCAGAGGTTGATTCAAAGGTTGCCCCTGTGTGGTGAAAAGTTTGGTGATGTGCCTCATAGGCGAAGTGACCTGTTTTGCCTCGTTGATGAGTCAAAAGATTCTTTATTCTATCTTCTGCAGAAATTGATTTCCGTAGCCATTCTTGGTGAACAATGGATAGCGAGGTGGTTAAGCGGTGGGCTCATGTCTGCACTTGTGAACCCCTGGATTCATCCCTTGCGAGGTTCTGGTATCAAGAGGCCCAGGTCGACAGGTTGGCTGATTAAACCCAGTCACACCAACCATGTCTAAAAGTCGCCAAAGAATCAGTGATAAAGCTAGGACGTCACCCGGAAGTGGCGCGCAGAACCCCCGCCCGAGTTCTGTGGTCAGTATGCGAGGGCTACCGAGGAGTGAACGGCCTCGGCCAAAGAAGCTAGTTCGAATTGGGACTCTGAACGTAGGATCGCTAACTGGGAAGTCCCGAGAAGTGGCTGATTTGATGACGCGCCAGGGAAGTTGAGAGAAGTGTCAAACTCGACTTCAATTGAGAAGACGCCAATCGGAACATCGCTTGCTCAGGACCATGCCTCCGCTGTGAACAGGAATAAAGATTGAATCATGAGACTAACACGAAGGATTGGCATTGGACAATACTTTTCGTGCACGCAAAACAAGCCGGGATAGTGAGAAGCACGTGTTTTGTTCTAGCCTTAACATACAATGAGATGATGGGGAACACCGAGGGAGAGAGGGTCCTCGCTATAACCTAGTCTTGCAATCTGCAGCATGTTCATTCCA